CTGCATCGGAGAACTGAGCACTCCAGTGTAAACAAGGAACAACTGAACATTTTATTGCTTGAAATCACTTTCTTGTCATTGTCCAGTTCTGCGCAATTTCATTTCTCTTCAGTTACCTACGGCTGGCATCCGTGGCTTAGGCGTTGCGAGTCCGACTCGTAATTCCAACATACCGTGATCGTATTCCAGTGCTGGCTGCGTGGATTTTTATCGTGGTATGGGGCGTCGCAGGTCGACCCAGCCTAAAATGGGTACCAGGATGTATGTCATGGGGAAGTAAAGATGGCCGGCGTAATGCTGACGACATTACCCACCTAGTGCTGATTGGTCTGTTGCACAAAGCGGAAGATGTGCGGAAGACCAAATCAGGCTGTGCCGAAAGCCACCTTCTACAAACGATGATAGCGCCATGATTTTGCAGATGAGAAAAAAACGACAACTGTACAATTTGATATTTAATTTTCTGGTTTGCATTTTTATTTCTTTCATCTTCTAAATAGATTATCGACAGACGATGGCGACCATGATCCGGGAAACCGTACATGTTCACTATTGTGGGTGACGGTGCCAAGCCAGATTCTGTCCGTTTTGATATTACAAGATCAGAGCAACAGTTGAGACATCTGAAGACAGAAGCAAATGGAATACCAGTTTTACGTCTTCATCTTCGCCGCCTTGGAAGGCACTTTCATTCTTGAAACGACTGGTGGGTAAACAAACTGTATTTATATCTATATCTTCGATTAATAACTTTTCGATTGCGAGCCGTACATTTTAGATTGAGGTGTCATCTACAATATCTATACTGAAAATTAAAAATGGGATTTTAGGTCTTTTGTAGGAAGTAATAGCTTCATGATGTTTAGCAGATTGTTATAGACCTGTTCAGCTTACAATAATACACCGGTTGCGAAACCTGGGAGTAAAGCACATCTATTCCGTCTTCGAGGAGCAGATAGGACTTCTTATCGGAATCATTAATAGATGTACTCTGGAGTGGCTGCTGCATCACATGGGATGCCCAGTGTGTAGAGACCTTGATTGTCACCAAATGTCAGCAATGTAAATATGTATGCTATATAACAGCTGGAGACAATGAAGAGGAGGACAAAATGAAGAGGGGGAGGAAGAAGAAGAAGAAGAAGACAAAGAAGAAGAGGACGGTCAAGAGGGGAGGCGGAGCAGGAGGAGAAAGAAAAAAAAGGAGAGAAGGAAGAGTAGGATAATATGAGAATAAAAAGGAGGAATAAAACAATTACGACAACGATCATGATGATGTTGACGATAATGATCACTATTGTGAAAGTGGCTATCCTTTTTTTCATCCATCCATCGATCCATCCACCAAGCCATCCATCCATTCACTTATCTATCCATTCATCCATCCAACCCCCCCCCCTCCATCCATCCACCCATCCATTCATTCATGCACCCACCCACCCACTTATCTATCTATATATCTAATCTATCTATCTATCTATCTATCTATCTATCTATCTATCTATCTATCTATCTATCTATCTATCTATCTATCTATCTATCTATCTATCTATCTATCTATCTATCTATCTATCTATCTATCTATCTATCTATCTATCTATCTATCTATCTATCTATCTATCTATCTATCTATCTATCTATCTATCTATCTATCTATCTATCTATCTATCTATCTATCTATCTATCTATCTATCTATCTATCTATCTATCTATCTATCTATCTATCTATCTATCTATCTATCTATCTATCCATCCATCCATCCATCCATTCATCCATCCCTCTCTATCTATCTATCTATCTATCTATCTATCTATCTATCTATCTATCTATCTATCTATCTATCTATCTATCTATCTATCTATCTATCTATCTATCTATCTATCTATCTATCTATCTATCTATCTATCTATCTATCTATCTATCTATCTATCTATCTATCTATCTATCTATCTATCTATCTATCTATCTATCTATCTATCTATCTATCTATCTATCTATCTATCTATCTATCTATCTATCTATCTATCTACCTACTTTCCTACCTACCTACTCACCTATCCATCTATCTACCTACCTACTCACCTATCTATCTATCTATCTATCTATCTATCTATCTATCTATCTATCTATCTATCTATCTATCTATCTATCTATCTATCTATCTATCTATCTATCTATCTATCTATCTATCTATCTATCTATCTATCTATCTATCTATCTATCTATCTATCTATCTATCTATCTATCTATCTATCTATCTATCTATCTATCTATCTATCTATCTATCTATCTATCTATCTATCTATCTATCTGTCCGTCCGTCCGTCCGTCCGTCCGTCCGTCCGTCTGTCTGTCTGTGTGTCTGTCTGTCTGTGTGTCTGTCTGTCTGTCTGTCTGTCTGTCTGTCTGTCTGTCTACAAAGATACACCTCCAGTCAGGCACACTGCACATATATCCACACGATTATAGGCTGACACAAACATGTGAAAACATAAATACATACACCTCCAATCAGACAAACATGCACACATATCTACATGACTATAGGCAGACATAGATACAGACAGACAGACAGACAGACAGACAGACACAGACAGACAGACAGACAGACAGACAGACAGACAGACAGACAGACAGACAGACAGACAGACAGACAGACAGACAGACAGACAGACAGACAGACAGACAGACAGACAGACAGACAGACAGACAGACAGACAGACAGACAGACAGACAGACAGACAGACAGACAGACAGACAGACACTTCTAGTCAGACAGACAGACAGACAGACACTTCTAGTCAGACAGACAGACAGACAGACAGACAGACAGACAGACAGACAGACAGACAGACAGACAGACAGACAGACAGACAGACAGACAGACAGACAGACAGACAGACAGACAGACAGACAGACAGACAGATGGACGGACGGACAGACAGACAGACACCTCTAGTCAGACAGACAGACACTTTAAGTCAGACAGACATGTCTACAGTAAACCATGCAAACATTTGCAGAAGCCAGACAGATGTGTTGGTCCTGCCAGTACGTGTTAAGAGGAGCGGGCAAGGAGGAGTGTTCGGCGGCCCCAGGCAACTGGACGGGAGGCGAGTCTAGGATCCGGTGTCCGACCAAGTGCATTATTACCGCAGAGTTCGATTCTGGTAGGCTGGCTGTTTCAACTGTTATAGTCTGGCTCTTGATAAGTGTCGGATATAGGTATACATTCAATAAGTTAGAAGGTTATTTAGAAGCTGCGGAGATGTGGTTTTGTAGATGAATGATGAGAAGACCCTGGACATATTAAAAAGAGTAATGAGGACGTCTTGAAAGAAACCACCTTGTGGGTTCCGGGTCCTGTTATAGGGAAAACAAGAATAGACCCACAGTCTACTAAAAAGCATGTCGTAAGAGTCGACTAATTACGAGCTTCCATTTAAGTCGGAGTGCATCTGCCTTAGAGTCAAGGATGACTGCAGTAGTCTGCATACAAATGAGTCAGATCTGTAAACGGATGCACACGCAACACTCAGGTTCTGGAACAGGACTGCAGTCCAGAGGAGGACGAACTACCAGAACTTTGACAGCTAATGAAGGTGAAGAAGTAGAAAGAAACTGAATCACGAAGAGAACTGATTGCCCACATCAGAAAGAGACAATCTACATTCTTTGGTCATGTGATGAGAAGGAGAAAACTGGATTACATCGTGACAGTAGGAAGGCTGGAGGGAAGGAGAGGCAGAGGAAGACCGAGAGAACAAATGCTGGACGGTTTGACATCATGGCATGGAGGATCATCCGCTGTGGTGTAGCGGCTAGATGCTTGCCAGCGGGTCCGAAGAGGGTGGGTTCAGAAATTTAAAAAAAAAAGGACTTTTGCTGCCAGGTCGACTCAGCCTTAGATGGGTACCAAGTAAAATCCTGGGAAGTAAAGGCGGCCAGCGTGATGTTGACCGCGTCACCCACTGAATGCCTATTGGTTTAAAATATAGATCTAGCCCTATATGCCCAACACGTCTGAAGGCGTAGGAAATAGTCCTTTATTTTAATTTACTTTTTTTTTACGGCTTCACAATCTGCTTGGGCCGTCAACATGTCCCTTTCCCCAATCCGATTATCTTTTAATATATTTTAAATGCAGTTTTCTTCTTTTAATATATTTTACGTGCAATTTTCTGTTAATATATTTTACACGCATTTTGCTTTCAGTTTATTTTACATGCAATTTTCCTTTAATATTTGTACATGCAGTTTTCTTTTAATGCATTTTACGTGCAATTTTCTGTTAATTTATTTTGCATGCAATTTTAATATACTTTACATGCAATTTTCTGATAATATTTGTTTCTACATGCAATTTTCCTTTGATATATTTCAAATACAATTTTCTTTTAATATATTTTACATGCAATTTTCTTGTTATATATTTTACGTGCAATTTTCTGTTAATATATTTTACATGCAATTTTAATATATTTTATGTGCAGTTTTCTGTTTATACATTTTACATGCAATTTTCTCTTAATATATTTTAAACTCCCCCTCCCTTTTCCTCTCCTATAATTGTTCTAATCTTTATATTAATAAAAATCTTAATTTTCCGGTGATGAAAGCTACAAACTAGGAAACTACTGAACCGATTGCTTTCAAAATTTGCACACAACGTTGCCTTTGACTCCAAGTGTGATTTTTTTGTCAGAAAATCGCAAAAACCACGAACGACGTAGCTCCATCAACGGTCAAATCATAATTTATTTCGTTGCCGGCCGGATTCGTTTTTATGTAATCGGCCATATTTGACTGCTGAGCTCTTTTTGAACTTTACATCATTATATAATTTAATTTCCAGTATTTGTTTGAGTGTTTGGTAGCGTAGTTGTTAACTATTCTGGCTATCATATAGTTTACCCGCGTTCGATTCCCCGCCAGGTGATATAAGTTTTTTTTAGCCCTAAACTGGGCGGCTGGCACGTTGTGTTGTGGTTTATGGCTAAGCTGCGATATCTACGCCTTTTTCGGTTTTGGGGTTTACAGCTAGCCTGCGACAGCGGCAACGTGATGCTCAATGGTCATGTCACGGGTAATCTTCATTTACCCTCGAGAGGGCCGTTGGCACGTTGTGTTGTGGTTTACAGCTAGGCTGCGATACCTGACCTAAACTCTTCAGTCGTCGGTAGTAAAGTTGTAAGTATGTCATCCTTCACTCGGGTGACCGGTGTTCGATTCCCTGCTGGGTGATAATTGTTCTTTTCCACCTAAAAGAGTGGTTGCCACGTTGTGTTGTGGTTTACAGCTAGGCTGCGATATCTGCGCCTTTTGCCCACAGATATCCGATTTCAGTTAAGTCCTTATTAGCCTCCCGGCGACGCTTCTCGATCAAAAACTATTCGGCGATGATTGAAACTGTTAACTAAGACGGCTTACAGTCCAGTTTAGTTTGGGTGGACACGGATGCCAAGGTCAGTTAGAAATCGTTCCTTCGGAGAGGGAGAGATGACGGATGCGGGGTATTTTTCTCCCCTATTCGTGAGTATAGTGTACTTTTCACTGTGGGTTCCATCACTGGTTACGTGATAAAGTTTGTTTCCCTATGTCCGGGGCAAAATCAAACTAAATAGCCAGTGGCGACAGCATGGGGCGCTAACTCCTGTTTTCTACACCGACCTACACAGACTGTAGTGACAGTTGTTGTTGTTTTTGTTGTGATGGTGGTGGTGATTGTGGTTGCAGTAGTACTGGTACTGGATGGGTGATGTGGTAGCTGTTACACAGGCTACATTTACTTCTCTGTACAAGTTAATGCTACCTATTTAAGTCTGGGTTGACACGGATGCAAAACTCAATTTAGTTATAAAATTTCGTTACACGGTGACTTTCCCATCCTTTGGAGAAGATTATATGATTGGTGGGGGGGTTGCCAAACACATTTAGCTAAGAGAGCTTAAAATATTATTTTAAAGTTCTTATTTCTTAACTATTTCTATTTTAATAATTTCGCCATGGATGATTTTTCAATCCTTCGGAGAGGGAGATATGACTGCGTCGAGGGAAGAGGAGGGGGGTATGACAGACACTGTTAGCTGAGAGCTATTTTCTTTCCACTCCATTTCACCAATCTGGGCTACAGCAACGCGTGGCTGGGTACAGCTAGTTTTATTATTATTATCTCAGGCTCCTATTTATTCTAACTTGTTATAAAATATTTCAATGGAATAAAATAATCAGCTTGGTATACGTCAACTTCCACCTTTTAATAACTTTCATCACCTCAGTCATTTTGATTTTAACTAAAAAATTAAATAACAATATATGTTCATTTTCCATATACTGAAAGGCGAGTGATTTAGATCAGTATGAAGGATAAGCCGGTTTACTGGTTTTAGTCGTGGCAAGTTTTTCCTTCTGACAAAAGTTAGCTGTTGCACTTTCCTCCATAGGTAGACTGAAAGTATATAGTTTCGTTGCCCCACTACTGAGCTGAGGGCACGGCGCGACACTGTGAACTGCTGATCTTATTTTAGAATGTTTTTCAACTGCGAACAACATGGTTTGCATTGTGAACTGTAGATTTATAAAATGGCGAGTGACCTGCTGCGGCAGAACTAACTCGTCGTGCCTTATGTGATTAATTTCGTGTGCAACTACTGATCTGTTGGAACTGCTGCTTCCATCGATGATGACTTGTATCTCTAGTGTTGTACTTTTTGTGTTAGCCCATCTGATGGCTTCCTCGTGCATCTAATTCCTGTGCATATTTTTGGATATACCGACACTGTAATCTGTATAAATATTTCCACGAGGGACGGTGACAGACATTCTGTGTGCTTTTTGTTGACACAGACACGGAGCAACTATGGGTGACCTGTTTGAAATAAAGTTCCAGCTGTGATTGATGATCACCTTATTTATATTGTAGCTGTTGTTGCTGCTCTGTTGATATTCCCGTTGTTGTTTGTTGAATTTTGCATTCCGCCCCCCCCCCTTTCCCCCCCCCCCCCCCCCATAAATAAAGATAGAGTACTCACCACAAAGTGTCCAAAAAGGTGCCTCTCCACACTACCACAAGGAAACCGCTCCCAATACTACCAATGTTGCCACTGCTCCAACAGCAACAGTAATGACATGGGCTACTACTGCAACCTCATACTGCAGTCACTACCATCAACCACTTTTTTTTTTACCGGGTCGGTCTCCCCAAATGCCAAGCCCCGCATCCCGACTACCAGGAGGATATTACGTCAGTAATCCGGACTGAACGGGAAAACTGCCCAGCAACGGTTTGTTTAAGATTAGCTTTACCGATTGGGTTTTACCCGTGTCTTGGTTTGTGACCGATCCCCGTCCTTCTGGCCAGACCAGTGCAGCAGAGCTACACTTTGATCTTAGCCAAAAGGCCGAGAAGAGACCATCAACCACTGTTACTGCTCAGCGCGCACACCACACACAGTGTTGAGAGACAGACGAAGTGCACTTGGGTTCATCGCAAAAGTGAATGGACGTCGCTTAGTGCAACAAAGCATGGCATATGATATCATAACGTCTTGTTTGAGAATGGAGGTGGAGGCAGTCACTGCAGCCTCACGGTGGCTTGAGAATCAGCAGTATACAAATGTTGTACAGTATAACCTAGCTTAATAAGCACCTCTCATAACGAGTAATTCGCATAACGAGCAAAACTAATTGTAAAAGAATGACTCGCTTAACCAGCGACGTTTCACATAACGAGTGGCGAGGAGAGGGAAAGTCCTGGATTTTGCGCATGTTACATCAGTCTGTGTTTAGCACTCGTTCCATAACATCGTAGTGTCGCTTGTTGTGATCGCACATTTTCTCAAACTTGTGTTATATTGTGATATGTTCATGAATCGTCCAGGCCTACAAGATGACCTCCCTGAAGAATTTAAGTTCATCAAGATCCAGTTTCTGCCTCCCAACACCACTCCGTTACTCCAGCCCATGGACCAGCAAGTTATTTCTAACTTTAAGAAGCTCTACACTAAAGCACTCTTTTAGCATTGTTTTCATGTGACTGAAGGGACCAACCTCACTCTCGAAGTGTTTTGAAAAAATCACTTCCACATCGTTGCCTGCCTCAAGATGACCGACAAGGCGGGGAAGGGTTTACCAAGAGAACCGGCCGGAGAGTGTTGTCGATTTGTGATTTGAGGGGTTCGAGACAGTACCTGTGGAACCTTTAGTCAACGAGATTGTGTCTTTGGCCACTATCATGGATAGTAGGTGGATAACAGTGATATCGAAGAGCTTGTGGAAGAGCACAGCCAAGACCTGACCACCGAAGAGCCTATGGAGTTGCATTGTGTTTCACAGCAAGAAGTTTTGGAGGAAAGTTTGTCAAAGGAGGAGAAGGTAACAGAAAAGCAACAATCTTCTGGCGAAATAAGAAAAATGCTGAAAGCATGGGAAACTGTTGCTTCTCACATTGAGAAGCATCACCCTAATAAGAAAGTGGCTATACGCGCTACAAATTTAATGATAATGCTGTGTAGCATTTTCGCCAAATTTTGAAGCGTCGACAAAATCAAATGTCTCTGGACATCTTTCTAGTAAAAAAATAATTAGCTGTGTATCATAATTATTTCGACTTTTTTAAATTCAAATCGAATTCACATTCCAGGTGGGTTCGTTCCGCGCTTGTAGAAAAGATATTCACTCTCCTTAAATATGTATATAATTTTCGTTTAATAAATGTTATAGTATAACTTATACATATCATTTTGTGAGTATTTTTTTTTTTTTTTTTGACATGGAACGCATTATCGTATTTTACATTAATTTATATGAGAAAAATTGCTTCGCATAACGAGTGTTTCGCTTAACGAGTATGATTCTGGAACGAATTATGCTCGTTAAGCGAGGTTCCATTATAATTGTAACTGTTTCACAGAGTATGTTGACAAAAGTGGAAACATACTCTATGCAGAGTGACAAGCATCGCTTCAGAGGTCCCGGCTAGTTAGCATCCTTTAGATATTTTCTCCAGGTCGGGCCGGTGTGTTGGGAAACGAACAGATAGATAGACTAGCTGGTTCTGCCCCACTTGGTGGTCGACTGGTATATGATAGGCTGGATGTTATAATTGCCTTTGGGAGCGAGTAAACAGTAAAAGTAAAGTTAAAGTTAAGGACCCTTTCCACGCCTTTAGGCGTATAGGGCATATAGAGCTTGACCTATATTCTTATTGACCAACGGCACAAGATGGGTGATGTGGTCAGCATCACGCCGGCCGCCTCTACTTCCCGGGATTGCACCCGGTACCCACTCAAGGCTGGGTCGACCTGGGAGCCAAGGTCATTTTTGAAGAAAAGTCCGTCTCCACCAGGGAGCGAACCCACGACCTTCCGATCCGCGGCGCGCGTGAGTGAACAGTGCATAGGTACAAATAGATCATTACGGTCTGAGGAGATTGGCTTTGTGAGGAGTTACCAGGGAGTCTAACCGACGCTCAACATCCACGGAAAAGGCGAGACGGATATACGGTCAAGCAGTTAATGGTGACACTGGAATTTGAACTCTTTATTTACTGCTGAAGATGGGAACGGAGCATTTATGGGAATGTTCCAAGTAAATTTATGTCGATTCTTAATTCAACAATCAGCACCACACACATACATAGGCAAAACACACAAAGTATAACTTTTTATACCGAACCTTTCAAGTTTGAAGTGATCTATACTTTTGGGTTTGCTCTTTCTATTTTTATTTTCAGTGACAGGAGAACCAACCTTCATACACAGAGGCTGTGGTATGTTTCAGCAGCCGGACGGGTGCTTGGACAATGGCGCTAGACACAGCTGTTTCTACTCATGCCAAGGCAAGAACTACTGCAACAATAAGAAATTAAGTAAATCGCCGAAATGTGCAGACTCCGTTGGAACCGGAAACATGGTGGACTCCATGACGTTTATTGTACATACGTGTTTATCATTGTTTGTCTGTTATGTTATATCACTCTGCATGCTGAAACCTACTTAAGAAAACATTTAGTTTTGTTGGAATATATCATACGACATTACAAACCAGATAGTATGTGATACATCCCTGTATTGCATACAATGATGTTTGAATAAACAAGAAACGGCCATATTCTCCCCTTCCAGCACAATATTATACCTTAACTATTAAGGATTACTTGCTTCTCAACATTCTCTCACTCTTCTTTTTCTTTGCCTGCTTCATCTACTACTACTATTATTAATACTACTACTACTACTACTACTACTACTACTACTACTACTACTACTACTACTACTACTACTACTACTACTACTACTACTACTACTACTACTACTACTACTACTACTACCACTACTACTACTACTACTACTACTATTACTACCACCAACACCACTACCACCACCACCCCTACCACAACCACTATTACTACTTTGATATTATTTGACTGACAATACTACTACTACTAAGTTTAGTATTATAAATAATATTATTACTAAAAAATACTACCACTACTATTACTGCTTCTTTTTCTCTTCCTCGTCCATGCCCCCACCCCTTTTCTCTTCTTTTTCTTTTTCTTATCCTGCTTTTCCTCTACTTTCTCCTCCTCTACTTACTTTCAACCTCCTGGTTTCCCTCAGACCTTGGCAACCATCTTCCATCTTGCTCTCTCTATCTGTGCATTCTTCTTGGTGGTTAACCATGCTGGCACACATGTTGACTTCACTTGCAACCAACCTCTGAGTGTTCGCAAAAATTCAAAGTTAAATTTCCACTATTTCAAGAACCATATATTTCAATCGAAACCCATACCACCATGTTCTTTAAACTGACTCAGCTTTTATGATTTTAGTTATATATATTTTTTCTAATTGATTATTTTCAAAACTGACCTTGGCTCATCCACCTAATGCCGATTGGTTATTAAAAAAAAATATGTCTACCATTATGTGTCTTCTTATTATGTCCACCTGCTTATGTTGTCAAACGTTCCAAAAAGGAGTTATATGTAACCTTCTGTCTTTTGTGCAACTGCTTATGTCGTCAAACGTCCCAGAGAGGAGTTATATGTAACCTTCTGTCTTTTTTCCAATTGCTTATGTCGTCAAACATCCCAGAGAGGAGTTATATGTAATCTTCTGTCTTTTTTCCGAATGCTTATGTTGTCAAACGTCCCAGAGAGGAGTTATATGTAACCTTCTGTCTTTTGTCCAATTGCTTATGTTGTCAAACATCCCAGAGAGGAGTTATATGTAACCTTCTGTCATTTGTCCAATTGCTTATGTCGTTAAATTTCCCAGAGAGGAGTTATGTGTAACCTTCTGTCTTTTGTCCAATTGCTTATGTCGTCAAACATCCCAGAGAGGAGTTATATGTAACCTTCTGTCTTTTGTCCAATTGCTTATGTCGTCAAATTTCCCAGAGAGGAGTTATATGTAGCTTCCTTTCTTTTGTCCAATATGCTTATGTCGTCAAACATCCCAGAGAGAAGTTATTTGTAACCTTTTGTCTGTTGTCCAATTGCTTATGTCATCAAACGTCCCAGAGAGGATATAATGGGTAAAAAGAATTCAAAAAATCGCACTTAATCCCCCTCACCTGATCATGCTGGCGTAAAAGCTAACGAGTGAGCGGACCTGCTGGCAAGCAGTGTGCGAAGAGGCACGGACATCGCGGATATCATCAACCTGCACGGACTGGGCTGGTGGATATTGCGAATCTCTGACAATAACACGACTGCGTGACATGAAAGTAAATCAAGGTGACGCACGGCTATCGCCTTCGAGGCCCAGACAGGAGACATTATAACTAACCTCTCATGGGAAAAAATAGAAGCACCTTGGAGCGATTGATGCATTGAAGGACTGCCCATGCATGGGAATACCTAATGTGCAGTGGTGTTGACTGTGATAACCACTACCTCATCCAGTTTTTTTTTTTTTTTTTAAGTTGGAGGAGGTCGTGGGGATAACATAACATTACAAGAGAGGAGTCAGATGCAGTTTCCTGTCTTGTGTCCTACTGCTTGCGTCCGTCTTGTACTTCTCGGATGGCTTGGATGATGTATTTGTTCACCTTTTTTGTTTTTTAGGTTTCTGTTACACCAATTATCCACATCTTTCTTGGTCTTCCTCTCGCCTTCCTCCCAGATGTTCTGCTGTAAAAAGTCTCCTATGCAGTTTGGGCTGGCTGCATTCTCAGTAGATGGCTGAACCATTGCATTCTTTGTCTGTCAATATAATCCAGACATAGTCTTATTCCAACTTTATCTCTAATGCTGGTATTCGTAACCTTGTCTCTTCTAGTGTTGTTAGTGATATTATAACATTCCGGTGTATGGTAACTATGCAATGGATACCCTTCCACTGGGGAGTTCCTGGAAATGAAAGAGCTGATAAACTAGGTAAGAAAGGTACAACCTGACGTTCAAGTCTGTTATCAGCAAAAGAAGAGAATAATCAAATCAATCAGAAAGACACCAAAACTGGCACAAGACGATTACCATTTGATGGACAGACCAGAGCAAGTTATTATTCTACGCCTTAGAACAGGACACAATTGACTTCGCAGCCACATGTACAGAAAATTTAAAATCGGCGAATCAGCTATGTGCACCTGTGGACTGGCACCTGAAATAACAGATCATGTCCTCCCAGACCATCCTAAATACAACAAACATATCAAGGCAAAACTTTTGGTCAAGAGAAACATCGGTTCAAGTCAAACTTTACAGGTCGCTGAGTGAATTACAAAAGACAGTGAAGTTTATACTAAAGACAACATTGCAGATATAGATAATCCATTTCGAGCGAACGAAAGAAGAAGAAGAAGAAATAACATTCTTTAAATGCTGATCTGAATTTATATTTTTAATTTGATTATACATCAAATAAAACAAGGACGAATGTGTGTAAACAGGCTCAGTTTGTTGTTGTTAGTAGTAGTAGTTTTGTTTGTATAGTATGTTCATATTTTTCACATTCATTACTTTTACATAAAGGTAAACAACGACCCATTCGATGTAACGCCCAGAAGTTAACGATGCGGATACTTGAGGTAAAAGATGTAGGCAAGTAAGCAAGAGGCAGATAAGGAAATAAATGGGAGGGCAACAACAAGAGATGGACATCAGCCGTGTCAGAGAATGTCTTTTTGTGTCACCACAAGCGAAGATCATTTAGCACGCTATGGTAGTAATGATCAATGAATGTGTCGAATTCTTCTTCTTCTTCTTTTGCTGAGCGGACACGTGGTTGTTGCAATGCGTGCACATCCGTTTTACAGATGTGACTTATTTGTATGCACATTTTTGATCACGCCTCTTAAGCATCTGCACTCCGACTTCGAAGAAAACCCCCTTAATAAAAAAAAGAGGTGGGATGTGCCACATGATTTATTTTCTATATACAACGTATTTTGTTTACCAGTGCAGCCTTTATGCCTGGCAGGCTGATGCACCATGCTTGATGACTGAACACCATCCACACCTGCCGAGTGCAAAGCTCCCCATGTTTCCGTCCTAATGCCGAAAGATGTCAGAGTATTTTAAGAGTGTTCTCAAAGCGTCCTTTTCTGTCCAGGTGGGAATCTTTCTCTATGCCAGAGTTCGCCGTAAATGTACCTTAAAGGTGAGAGACAGGGAACGTTGCAGATCCATTGCAAATTATTTAACACAAGCCTTGACGATCGAACTCGAAGGAAAATATATGCACTGGAAACGAAATCCTTTCTCAAGATCCTTGGTATATCGTAAAAAAAGATCACAGTGAAAGAGAGCAGAATACAAAGGCGTATACGTCTATGAAGATATTTCGACCTTTTTAAAAACCAGATTTCAGGGCTCAGCACAAGGAAGGACATCCCGGTCAAGAAAGATATAGATAAACAGTTTGCCAACACATATATCAGTCACTGTCTTTTTCGAGAAGTCAGATGGCCATTTGGAGGCGATAGGTTCAATTCAATGCACGGTAACTATAGCTTTAAATTTGTATGTTGTCTAGACTAGTATGTCCTTTTATCTTTCTACCTCTCTCTATGAGTGTCGATCAATAAATTGTCTCTCAGACAGTGATAAAATGATTCTGCATTTTCCCGCATCCAGTCCAAGATTAGGAAGGACCCGGGCGACTGACGCAACTTCCGTCTATTTATGCGCAATTTGCCTGCGCACAGAGAGCACCTAAATCGGAAGGATGCGTGTCTATCGCCTACCTCATCCTTCGTTCCTGGACTCACACATCAACCTGCCCAACAAACTCACCTTCTTTCACAGAATCACATGGGATACTTTCCACGCAACAACCTAAACTGCCACCCAGGTGAGCTTTCCTTCATAGAACATCGCGATAACGGGTCTGGGTCACACGAAGGGACGGGGTTGAGACACCGCCATGTCGTCTGTAGGTGGTGTTTGGTGGGTTGTAAGGAAATCAGTTGGACTGAACTGCAATAAATGTAAACACTGTGGAGTTATTCCTCTGATATGGAATGTTACCAGAAAGATAATTATCAAAGTATTATGTTGCGATTTGTACAGTGGTTGCTTCTGTCTTGTGTAGGAAAGGATGAACTGATATATTGTTAAAGCGGGGAGGGGCAGGTCGGGGGGAAGTGTGTCAGAGCCTCGATATGGCCGAGACAACCTTGCCTGGGATGTGAGGATCCTGCACCCATCAGGAGCCAGGCTTCGATGTTTGGCCACCCGGTCACTCGCCCTGGTGTGTTTAATTGGAATTAGGTTGAGTTAAGTGAGGCCCAACATCTGAGTACTCGGGTCATACCACAAGCGCTTCTTCCCCATCTTCAGCAGTCTACGCAAAGTCATAGTTCAGATAGTACCCAGTGTAAGAAAGATTTCGGTGGCTGTGTGTTGAGTGTCTTGTCTGACAGATTCCCCTGGCTGGTCACTTAGGAAGGGAAATTATGTAATCATGTGTAATTACAGTGGAAGAGATACTTAGTATTGGAAGTGCTGATAGTTGGGGGGAATGGAATGTTTCTAATTTGACTCAATG